TAATGGATCCGTATATCAATAATTTCATGGTTGAAAAAGTGGAAGATTTCACCCTGGAGGACTACAAAGAATTACAAGATGTTTTAAATGTAAATAGTAATACTAATAATTTCAAAATAATTCACAATAACATTCGTAGTCTTAATAGGAATATAGATGAATACAAGGTTTTTTTAAATAATTTAGAAACAGATATCGATTGTATAGTATTTACTGAAACAAGAATAATAGATGATTTGGATCTATTTACTATTCCTGGATATTCCATTATTTACAATCGCGGTAACTTGAATCAGTGTGACGGAGTTGTTATCTTTATAAAATCAACATTTAAACATACATATAAAATACTACCTCTAGCGCACAGTAATGCCATTCAATTACTCATACAATTAAATAAACATGAAAACATACTTATAACTGCATATTATAGATCCCCAGCATCTACCATTAATACTTTTATAGAATCTTTAGAACAATTTCTACAGGTTAATACTACTAATAATGAATATTGTTATTTATTTCTAGGCGATATAAATATAGACGTTCTATCGAAAACTCAACAGGTAAATGAATATCTTAGCCTAATGAATCAATTTGGATACAAATCGGTTATAAATAGTCCAACTAGAATCCAAGGAGAATATAAATCATGTATTGACCACATATTCATTAAAGTAAAACAACAAACATTATTACAACATTTATTACCTTTAATAATAAAAACTACAGTTACTGATCATTTTTCTATAGCGTTACAAATTGTTCATAATTTTGCATTAAACAATGGGAACACAAATAGGCAACACTTCAAACAACAAATTCTATACAAAAAATTAAAATCCCAAATACAACATACATCTTGGCATAATATCTTTGAAAATAATGACCCGGAATCTGTAACAAAACAATTCATTGAAACTATAACTTCAAACCTAAACAAAAGTATTATTAATATTAAGGTATACAGGAAAAAATCTAAACTCACACCTTGGATGACTAACGAATTAGTCAAGTTAATTAACACAAAAAACAATTTACACAAACAAATTAAAAAATATCCTCACAACGAAAATTTAAAACATGAGTATAAATATTACAGAAATAAAGTAACAAACTCAATTAAAAAATGTAAATTTAATTACTATCAAAATTTGATTAACAATAATAAAAATAATTCACAACAACTTTGGAAAATAATTAATAATCTTTCTAATAATAGTAATAAGCCAAATCGCGAAATAAAATCCTTATATAGTGACAATGACCAGGGGATCTTAGTATCAGATCCTAAACTTATTGCTAGTCAGTTTAATAAAATCTTTTCAGAAACTGGAGAAAAATTAGCAAATAAAATTAAACAACCTCCCAATTATCAACCTCCAAAAATTTCTGTTCCAAATAGTTTTGTATTATATCCTACTAATAAAAATGAAATAAAAAATATAATTAATAATCTAAAATCTAAAAAATCACCGGGAATTGATAAAATTACATCTGAAATTTTACAAATTATATCTCCTTTTATTCAAGAACCTCTAACCTATATAATTAATAAATCTATGGAATATGGTATATGGCCATCATCCCTAAAAGAAACCATTGTTGTTCCCATTTTCAAAAAAGGTGATCAAAACATTGCTAGCAACTATCGGCTCATTTCCCTTATTTCCAGTCTATCGAAGGTCTTTGAGAAGGTGCTAGAGACACGCTTAACTTCATATTTAAATAAATACAATTTATTATCTAACAATCAGTATGGTTTTAGAAAAAAGAAATCTACTGAGGATGCTTTATTGGCTCTGACAGAAAAAATTAATAATGCTCTTGACAGAAGCAAACCCTGTCTTTGCATATTTCTGGACCTCTCAAAGGCTTTTGACACTGTCAGTCATCCTTTACTTCTTAATACTCTAGAGAACTATGGTATACGAAATATTCCTCTAAACTTATTTAAAACCTACTTAAATGGAAGAACACAAATGGTTAGAATACGTAACATATACAGTAGTTTCTTACCGGTCAGATATGGAGTTCCCCAAGGTACTATTCTAGGCCCACTTCTTTTTAATTTGTATATTAACAATCTGTTTTCAATCAAATCTAAAGGTGAGATTCTGGGCTTTGCGGACGATACAGCTGTTTTCTATAGCAGTGATACTTGGCATAATATTAAAGATCTGGTCGAGAGTGACTTTCCTGAAATCCAAAATTGGCTTAACTCAAAATTACTAACTATTAATTTAGAAAAAACGTTTTACTTACCATTCTATTGTAATAAACCATCAGCACCTTTCTTTAATAATTTAAATTTTACTAATAATAACTGCCACTTTAGAATTAACCAAGTATCAAATATAAAATATTTAGGAATCTATCTAGATAGCCATCTTAAGTGGGACGAACATATACTGTTCATTTGTAAAAAACTAAGATTTATCCTTTACAAATTTAAATATTTAAAATCAATCCTTAATATTAATCAACTGAGACTTCTTTACTCTGCTTTGGTGGAGAGTCACTTGAGGTATGGCCTTTTAGTATGGGGCAACGCTTTAAAAACACTAGAACACTAGAAATCATCCAACGAAGGTTTTTAAAACTGATGCTTAATAAAGATTTCACATACCCAACAAACCTGCTATATTCCGAATCAAAAATTCTAGATATCCGACAACTTTTTTACGTAAAGGTAAATATATATTATCATTTCAACAAAAAAAATATACAACTACAACACTCCTATAATACACGAAATAAAAATTCAGAGTTAATTCCCCATATGCATAAGTCAGTTGGACAACGAGCTTACTCATATATCGGACCTAAAATGTACAATTCATTACCACCTGATTTAAAATCAATAGTCTATCTAAAACATTTTAAAAAAAATCTGACTCTCTACGTTGAACAACACTGTGATTTAATTCATTATGTAATCGAGATTCTGTAGTTAAGCAGATATATCTGTCTTCGGTCTATCTTTCCACTGTTTCAGAAACTGTAAAAAACATTTATTTTTTAATTTATCTTTAAATTTGTCTCTTAGTGAAGTTATTTATTGTGTATTGTTTGTTCAATATATAAAAATTGTATGAAATGTTTATTCACAATGTATTTTTATGCATATTATGTTATTTAAAAATATAGTCATTTAATTTTAATTATTGTCTAGTATATATTTGTATTTAGATTTACTATATTGTATATTGTATGTATTTTTTATTCTAAATTATTTTCGAAACAAGTGTTAAATCGCTTATCGAGCATAATAATTTATTCTAATTTACTATATTAACATGTACTTCTATTTTTGAGAATAAATTATATTATTATTATTATTATTATTATTATTATTATTATTATTATTATAATAAGCGGACAAGTTGAGCCTCAAAGGCCAAATAATACAGAGAGGGACTTGGAGTGTTAGAGCATGACTGAATAATGAAATGGCTCACATTACAGTATGTACAGATTACTTTTAATATAAGGTAGACCTCACATGTGTCTCGCCCAAACAACAGGCCACAGGCCACTTGCCATCAAATATTTGTAATAAAACAATTCTTGAGAATAGACAGCAGACGTCCTCCAAATTGCACTATCTTTAATAATTCTTTGTTCCGTTGTTTTCTTTTTTTATATAGGTGCGCTTACTGAGATACTGTCGTTTCAATAACAGGTGGATATCCCTTATGTTCCAGCCTCACCTAGGGGTGATTTATGTAGATGTAGTCTTACTAGAATAGAGCCAGATCAATACTAGCGAACTACCCCTTATGTTCAGATCTACCTACGGTCCGAAGATTGAGAGATAATTATCTAAGATAGTCCAACCCTGTAGTAACATCAAGCATATTCGGATAAATGTGAGTCTAGTCGTCCGATGTGTCATTTACCCCAATCAGCTGAGCTGTTATGTGCAAGGGTTCATTGACAGTTCAGTAACCAGACTCTTATTATCTTTTACGGTGATATATTAATTGGAAGGCAATATGACCCATAGCATACACATCTGGACGAGCTAAATGCGATGTCGGCGAGCAACAAATTCCTCAAATGTAAAGATTTACCATTATTGAATAATAATGAGTTGATAATAATTTGGTTGTTATTAACTCACCATCGGATAAGCAGACCGTTGGGTTTATATTATCGTCTGTTTCTATATCAGACATTTTATATTTTTGTATTTGGGATAATTAGCAGGGACGTTGAGACGTTGGTGTCGAAATTTAGAATGGCGTGGCGGAGAAGGAGCGTCGTGACGCAGAACGCCAAACGCAGAAAGGTAGATAAGTAAGGACGTAGGGCGTCAGATGAGATATTGGGCGTCGGATGGGGACGTCAGAAAAAAGAGATGACGAGTGACGTCGAGCGTCGAGACGTGGGAACGTTTGAAAGGTAGTTGGTCGGGCTAAAGGGCATCGGATAAAGGTAGGATACGAACTGCGTGAGTTTAGGAAAGGTACTAAACTTGAATTATATTAGATTCGAAAAATTTGCGACTGGAGTTCGAAATCAACTGGACTGAGTCTGATTTCTTAATGCCTTTCGAGTCCCTTTTAATCGGATCTTTATACATGATTTAATTAGTTTTTTTGGTGACGTCAGTGAACAAATTTAGGTGTATAAGGGGTGACTAATTTATTACTTGCCTTGTAAAGTTTGTGTATCGAAAACAACGTTCCTATTCAAAACTGACTTAAGTGCGTTAAGAGTTTTAATGATTATTACTTCGTGGCAACTTATGTTGTATGGTGGTTTTAGATTGCGTTCCCAGACACTTGTAAGAAATTGGATCTCTTATTATAAAGATATTATTTATTAGGTGTCGAAAATAAGATTTAATTATCTGGGAGATTTTTGTTAAATGAGGGATTTGGTATTTAATAAGAATGAAACTTTAAAAAAAAAAAATGGAATTAATAAATGATTATGGTACCTGGGTGCGGTAGATTACAATATAGAATTAGGTAAATACCTAACAAACTTACCAATACAATTACGTGGTCCTTCTCCAAATGGCAAATACGCATAAGGCGGTATTTTTTTCTTATTTTCTTTATTAAATCGTTCAGGGTCGAATTTGTCTGGTTCGGGGAAATAGTCCGGATCATTATGAAGTCCATGAACTGGTATCAATACTTCTATTCCCTGTTCAATAACAACATCGGTGCCAGGAATGGGATAGTCTTTGTTGCATTCTCTTGAAATTCTTGAAGCTGTAGAATTCTTGCGTAAACTCTCTAAAACAACATTTGCAATATACATCTATATATAGGTTTAACTTACAATAGTTTGTTGGAATATATTTTTTAATTGTTATAGTTTGTAACGTTATCGTTGGCTGTTGGGTATAACTTGAAGAATGTCTGTTAGTGCGAGTCGTATCGATAACGCTCTCTGATAAAGTGGTTTGGTTCCCAAAAAAAAAAGACAAAATTAATATTTAGTAGTAGTTATTATAAATAAAAACATTGAAATCATTCATGTTTTATAATAATGCAGTCGAAATGGCTTATAGTAATTCTTGTGCAAAAGTTTTGGCCTTCAGTTTTTAAGTTTTTGTTGCCATTCATATCATACAAATTCAATCTGTTTATCGAAACCAGCTAGGCGATTTATTGCCGATGCTGCTTCTACAAGTAACTCGCATCATGATCAAAATCTGGATGACACTATTAGTTTAATTTATTTAGTTGAACAAGAAATATCTCTTCTTTGAGATTCAGTGAGTTTTTTCTCAAACAAAATTTCCAATTTCAATAAAAAAATACTGAATATAGATAACTATTTTAAAGAAACTAAAAACTATAAATTAAAAAATATTAAATTTAAAACATATCTGGGTGAATAAAATGGAAAAATTCAAAATCTGGACAACTAGGGTCGTATAAAAAATGCAAAAAACTGTTTACAGTGAATCTAATAAAATAAACTCTTGTTAACTTATTTAAAAATATATAGGAATTCATTAGCTATAAGACTAAATATTACATGATTAACACTGTAGAGTATCAACTAAAATTGAAAATTAACAAAAAAACATTATTGAAAAAATAACAAAAGCAGAAATGGATTCAGTGTTAATGATTTTTTGTAAATAAACACGTTTCTGCTTAAATTAAACGGTCATAAGAAGTTACCAGAGACGAATGTAAACAAATAGTTTAAATATTTACGTGTATTCAAAACGAAAATATTTTGATAAGAAAATCAGACATTCCAAAATAATACAAACAGATAATATTGCAACAGTTGTTTAATTTATATATAGTTTATTTATTTAAAACACTTTATAATTTATTTATAACTTAATAATTAATTTATATAGAACTTAAGCGCTACCAGTTGAATAATACTATCAAGAAAGACAGTTATCATCTTCCTCGAATAGACGATACCTTGGACACATTGGCCGGAATTAAACTATTTTTTACCTTAGACCTAAAGACTGGATATTGACAGGTGGAAATGGACCCAGTAGACAAAACAAGACAACTTTTACGACAGGATCCAGATTGTGGCAATTCATTGTCATGCTATTTGGACTATGTAATGCCTCTGCGACATTTGAAAGACTTATGGAAAAAAAATTGAGAAGGTTATGTTGGAAAACGTACCTGGTTTGTTTAGACGACATTATAGTCTTAGTGAAGACAACTGATGAAGATTTAAAAAAGTCAAAAAGTGCCAACTGTCTTAAAATAAAGTTAATTTCCTGGGCCATATAGTCAGCAAGAATGGCGTGGCTGTGGATTAGAAAAAAATCTCTTTTATCAAATAGTGGCAACAACCAACTAATAAACATCAAATCCGAAGTTTTCTTGTGCTATGTACGTACTATCGAAGATTAATCAGAAAGTTTGCAGATATTACTAAGTCATTAAAACGACTCACAGAAGAAACGAGAAAATTCTGCTGGGACGAAGACTGTTAAAGTACCTTTAAAACACTAAAGAAGCATTTAACAATAGCGCCAATACTAGGCTACCCACTACCAGAAGTGCTTTCACAGATTCAAGGGGGCAAAGAAAGAGTGTTGGGTTATTTTAGTAAAGTGCTCTCGAAACCTAAGCGAAATTACTGCGTCATGAGAAGGGAACTCCTGGCAGTTGTGAAATGCGTAGAACATTTTTACCAATACCTATATAGAAGAAAATTCTTAATCCGTACCGATCAAGTGGTTGATGCAGTTCAAAAACTCTGAGGGTCAAATCGCCACATAGGATATTTTCTAGTTTTATTGAGCATTATTTTTAAAAAACTTTTTTGAATAATCTTGATTGGCTTTAATTGCATTTTAGTGACTCCACCCCAACCAATTATTCCATAGTTGAGATGAGATTCGAAAAGGCTATGATACAAAATTATCTTCTGTGGTAATTCTAGCATTGGTGACACTTGTATGAATTTAATTAAGAGACTAGGTAATTTGTTAAGTAAGTATTGAGTATGTTTGTCCCAGCGCAAGTGGCTATCTACTATTATCCCTAAATATTTAATTCTATTTTCAGGTAGAATATATGTGTCGTTCCTGATAGAGATATTTTGAAATTGAGGAAGACTGGAGGCTAGACTGCAAAAAGGTAGGTATACTGTTTTTTTTTTTTAATTTGTAGATAGTAATCGGTAGTCAAACCATGTTTTTATTTTGAAGAAATCCTTTTCTACCAATTTTTTTAAATTTTTCCAGTCAGTAGCTTCGTAATGCATTACTGTGTCATCTGCAAAGCTAATATTTGCTTTACTTTCAACAAAAAAGAGATTGTTCATGTAAATTATAAAGAGTAGAGACCCCAATACTGTTCCCTGAGGTACACCACATGAGACTATTTGATCGATGCTGGTGATATTTTGTATTTTGATTTTCATTTTGTTAAGTAAGACTTCATTAATTTATTGGCTATATCCCTTATACCTATATCTTCAACAAAATTTATTAAATGACAACGATTGACGGTGTTGAAAGCTTAAGCAAAGTCTAAAAAATACCTATTGATGGTTTCTTATTGTCATTTGAATAGTAAATTTTATTAGTTAGTTCCCTTATTGCGTGTTCCGTTGAACTTTTCTCCCTATATCCATATTGTCTTTTTAATAACAATTTTTTTTTTTTTTTTTCAGAAAGCCACATATTCGATGTTTTATCACTTTTTCTAGAATTTTCCATAGTGAAGAAATCAGAGCTATCAGTCTGTAGTTAGTTATTTCTGTTTTTCGATGATATATTATCGAAATTGTTTTTATCTGATTTTATAAAAATGTGGTCTATGCAAGATCTGGAATCTGGTCTAGTAACAGTATTTATAGCCGATAGGAAACCATATTCAGCAAGTAGGGTTAAATAATTTTAGCTAATGAGTTAATATTAATATCACCAATAAAAATTGTTTAGGGAGATAATGTTTTTGTTATATTCTAATTTACACGTAACACGAAGGAATCGCCTAGCTTTACATTTATATGATCTAGATATAGTTCTGGTTTTATGAAAACCAATACATCATCATTTTGATTTCGAGTACCGTTATTACAGAGTTGTCTTATAATCCTCAATATTATATATCTCGACATTTGGTATACTTGTAGTTTCTGTAAATACAATACAATCAATAGATATGTCTAGCTAGGTCTTCTAAAAATATTCATTTTTTGCTATACTTCGAATATTATTGTGGATAATTTTTATGTTTGGATTATTGTTATTTATTTTAAATACTTGTTTTACCTCGCTAGAGCTAATTAATTGAAAGTTGTATATTTTTTGTACGTTAAAGTCTCGAATATAGGGATCCATTTTATAATATATTGTTTATACTAAATTATTATTAAAAATATTACAAAGAAAAACTAATCTAAGATGTATGCAATACAAATAAATAAACTGGATGAAATAAGATATTACTCATTCATCAAATTTTAAATACACAATTTTTTTTAAACACTATTAAAGAAATTAATGACCTATACTATCTATTTAGAAGCAAAAAAATATTAGTGGATCAGATCTCACTATTTTTAGGCATTAAAAAGTTAAGAAGAAGCTAGAGAAAATTTTACCTGTACTCTGCTTTATTTCTTCCAAGTTCGTTTTATTTATTCAGTTCTTTTTGGTGTGTTGCCCTTGTAGTTCTTTGGGAACTACTAGAATTTGTTTTTGGTCAAGGTGTAGTGCAGTTTTTCTTATATTTTTCTACCTTCTTGTTTTTGAGGGGTCTATCTTCTTGTTTCTCCGCTGCTGATACTTCTACGATAGCTGTTTCTTTAACTTTTCCTCCTATGTCTTTCTTGTAGGAATCAATTACAGTTATTTGTTTTGATTCTGCTTCTTCAACATTTGACTCGCTATGGATGATTCCGGTAGCTGTAGCAGGTATTTGCGGTGTTTCTAGTGTGAATGTGTGCAAGTTACTTCAAAAAATGTTCGACGGATAATTGGGGTTTGTGGTGCGCTACTTGTCTTACGTGCAATTTTATTTACAGGACTATTTTCAGGAAACTGATTTAGGACCGTATCCATTGTTTTTAATTGATTCACCGTATACGTATCATTATTAATTTATCTTTGCATGATAGTTTCGTGACCTTGCTATATTGAGATGTTTTTGTAATAATCTTCTATCCTGTCTGCATAAGTCTTCGTTGAAAATATACTATATATTCTCTTAATTTATAGCATTTTTTAATAATTTAATTTTTCTTTAAGTATGATAAAAACTCAATTTTGATAGCTTTTTTTAGTGCCTAAACGAATTTCGTATAATTTATTTAGTTCAATAGTAGATACCTATTTCTAATCCAAGCAGTTCTTTTATTTTGTTAAGTACTTGCGTAGTTAAATCTTCATTTTCATTAATACTAATTCCAATCAGGATAAGATTATTTTTGCGGATTGTTCTATCAATACTCAGATTTTTTGCTTCGAGATAATTAACTTTCCTTTCGAGTTGACTTACCCTCTTCAAGCATTCATCAATTTTGTATAATGTTTTATTATTTTCAAACGTAATTTCGTTTCTTATTTATTTACTCTCTGTTTTTATTAGTGTAAGTATATGATTTAATAGACCCTTATTTGATATGTTATTTATTTCATCATTCATGATTATTGCATTACGTTTAAACTTTTTGAAATTAACAATCGGTATGTTGCCTACGCCACTGTTTAATATTTAGCAAGAAGGCTAATACTGATAAATCAAGTAGTTTTTTATCTTAGTGTAATTAGTTATTATCTGTTTCAATATCAAATATGTATTATTAAAATGCAATTTTACTCACAATGTATTCATATTTCATATTGACTTTATGTTCTTAATAAAGTAGATTTTTCTACGGTTCTCTCGATTCCAAAAACACTTTGTTCTTCATGCAATTAACAATATTTAATTTGATTTTTAGCGGAGCATTCTTTTTTGATCAATCACAATCGCCAATGAACTTTCATTTCCAAAATACTTCGTCAGCTACACAACAATCCATCAGTAGGACATTTCAGTGTCAAAAAAACAGTTCGTGAAAGGTTTTATTGGATATAAAAAAGTAGTGTAAGGAATGTATAACAACTATGGTATGAATGAAAAAGGAAGGCCCCCATAAAGCAGTACAACCTTGGTAGTCCATTTAAGAGTATTGCCTTAGATATGGCTGGACCGTTTTCAAATCAAGAGGCCGCAACTGTTGCAGACGTGTTGTAATCTATTTAATTATGTATGTAGCACTTACAAAATGTAAAATTCGAAATAGTACAGTATATTTAACCTAACACAAACAATTGTAGGAGTTGAAATTAATATAAAATAAATTAAAAAACATATATGAAATATTAAAAAAAAAGGAAGAATACAACACCGCGGGACGATATGAGTAAAACGTAGACATTCAGGAGTTGCAAGTCCCTTTTAAGCGCCATAATATTACGTTTTAATATATTACAGTCCGAGTAAAATGTGTCATTTGATCAATAAATGCACTTTCTCCTAATTGGTTTGGTGTCTTTTTACATTCATAAGTGTGCCGATTCCGTCATGCAGAAACCAATAGTTGAACTCTCTTAAGCAGTGACCCGCATTTGATAGAACCACCTATTAATTTAGCCAGGAATAGGAGTAAAGTCTGTTTTCTTCTGCATTCCAGGCTCTGCATGCCGCATATCTTTAACCTTATTTGATAAAGTCTGTTATGATTATGAAATCGGTGTATAAAGAGCAGGTATTTTACGAATTAACGTTGCACCCTTTCAATTATATTGTTATGATGGGTGTAAATAGGTTGCCAAATAACAGAACAGTATTACAGGACACTTCTCACCAGGCTATTGTAAAGTGTCATGATTGCTTTTGTGTTTTTACGTACCTAGTATATCTCCAAGCATTCTGAGTGTACTGCGTACTATAGAATCTATATGGTTGTTAAAAGATATTGTGGTATCAAAAGTAATGCCCAGATCAATAAATGACGAATATCTAAATAGATTGACGCTGTCAATACTGTAAGAGTTAAGAGTAGGATTGTGGGATCTTCTGAAATGCATGGTCGTGCATTTTCAAATATTTATAGAAAGAGCGTTACACCAGATAGCAAACCTGTTCAGGTTAGACTGTAATGCGGAGTTATTACCAGTGTTTCTACTAAAAACTTTAAATCATTCGCGAAAAGTAGGCATTGGCTATTAAGAAAGCAAGACGTAACATCATTAAAGAATAAGGAGGACAATAGAGGTCCTATATGTAAACCTTGAGGAATACTGGATAGGACTTAAGCGTTACATGATTTCGAAGAGTTTCTTGAGTAGCAATTCATGACAGACACTGTCAAAAGGTTTTGACAGATCGGTGTAGATGGTTTCAACATGGCAGATTACCTGATTAGTTAATAAAATAATTTATCAGTCCTTGAAGATCCACAGTGACCAAGGCAGAAATTTTGAAAACAAGCTTTTTTAAGGAATTTGTGACAGACTAGGCATGAAGAAAACCAGAACTGCGGCATTCCATTACAGTCACAGTAGAGAGGTAGTTCCCGAACCTTCTGTAATACCACGTTACAATAGTAAAGATTTAAGAAATTTACAAACGTCTTATAATTTTTGGTAATTTTCTATGGCCTCATTATTTTAAACAATGACTAAATGTCCTATATATAACATTTTTTTGCAGATCACCTAATATATCGTATATCATGTTTCGCATATTTTTTTCAGTGGTTTTATAATGTTATTTAATTTTGTATTAATGTTATTATACTAAAATGGAAAAAAAATTTACTTATGGTATGAATAAATATTTACCTATTAAAATTGATAACTTGTTGATTTTAGATATGGCTCTGGCTTTGTTTTTTACATATTATTGCTGTAGACAATATAATCTGCTCCATTTGGAACAAAAATGCTATCTGTAACATATTAATGAGTAAACGAAGCCATGTATATACGACAGTGTTGCCGTACCAATTCATTTTTCATAATGGAATGTTGAGTCAAAAGGTATAATTAACCTTAAAGATGTCATTCCTAGTATTAATTTAATATTTCATTATTAGCGGTGTTATATTACTAAAATTATGGTTTTGAAATAGTCCTGTCCACTTATTCATAATCTTCTATTACTATTAAAATTACTAAACTTTATTGCAATGAGGTTTCCGATCCTGAATGTCAATTACACATTAGCAAATGAATTTTTTTTACGTTTGATAGTGTTAGGTTAAAATTTAAACGTAATAGTTATAAATAATTTTTTAACCTGGCAGTTAAAATTAACTAAAACGTTACAGAATAGATCTCTAAATCTAGTAACTATAGATTCTAATTACCTTTTAATACCATATCCAAATATTCCATCTCCATGATGCCATCGTACGTTATTTTATTATCATATTTCTTCATTACTGACTGAATTTCTTCTCTAAGTCGATTTTGAATGTCACTATGAAGAGCCAATTCAAATAAAGCGAAACACACTGTAGTCGTTGACGTCTCGAATCCAGCAACATAAAACGTAATTGCTTGAGCAGCCATTTCTCTGTACGACAAGTGCTTTATGGTACTGTTAGAGTTGAGATTCTCATTATCTGTAGTTTCGCCAGTGTTTTTTATTTGAATTAATAAATGCATGAAATCTTTTCGATAAACGTTGTTTTTTTCTCTGTGCTCGACAATGTCTTTGATTACTTTTATAAAAAAATCTTCAGCTTCCTTCCTGGTCACTCTAAATTTTATAGCAACTAAGAGCCATCGCGGGAAATTCTCGGATATAAATTTTTTGACGAGACCTTTGAACGAAGGTTTGAAAACGTTTGCGAAATGTTTCCTAAAGTCATTTTCTGGGTTTTTTAAGCTGTCGACGTCTAGGCCGAATGCCACAGTTGCTATAATGTCAGAGGTAAACAGCAACATATATTTTTTAATATCCACAGGATCGTTTAAAGCGGCATTTTGGTCTAATAGTTTTTCCAATCCTTTGATGCATTGTGTCATGGTATCGAACATCATTTTTATTTTTCCTGAAATAAAAAAAAAAACAAATATACTCTTTATATACTTTACAATATCCAAGGGTGTAGTCTAGCCTATACTACGATTTCAAAAAAAAAAAAAAAAAAAAATAGTGTGTTAAATTTGAGTTCATTATTTCGCTTTTTCGTTAATAATTCCACAATCTGTTCATAAAATGTGTCCAAAAATGGCAACGGGTTAATAATTGTGGCATATAATTTAAAATTTTATTGTAGAGGATATCATATGAACGATGAAAGTGATGATGATATTAGATCATAATCTTTTTTATTAAACATTTTGCGAATTTTACCTAAAAAATAATATATGATATAAACGTCATTAATATTTAAAATTGTATTATTCTTAAGAAACAAAAATGCTATTAGACAGGTAAAAGTGGCGAAAAGTGCTTTAAAATTACACATAAAAATTAACTACAGTTCACCCTGTTTACAAATATTACACCATGTTTATGATATATTTTAAATATTATATATTTATTTATTTATTAGGAAACGGACATACGTTAACTGTGGATGACGACCAATGAGGTGATTTTAGGTAACCCTTATTTAATGGTTACCTAAAATATCCAATATATCCATAGGATATCAGAAACATCCCGTGGATCTAATATGGATATCCAAATGTCCGTCTATATCCAGAATATAGAAGATATCCTATGGATATCCAGCAAAATATCTAATGGGTATCTTCCAGACAATACAATAAATCTCAGAGATATCCACAGTATATATTTTGTGGATATCCAATATATCCAGTGGATCTAATATGGATATCCAAATGTCCGTCTATATCCCAGGATATAGAAGATATTCGGATATTCAGCAAAATATTTTATGGGTATCTTTAGTAGAGGTTCATAAGTAACCAATAATTATTGAATAACGTCGAAAGAAAATAGCAAAGATAAAAAATATTTTCAACACTCTGCCTTTGATTTTGCCCACTAAGGAAAAAGTCATCCTTATTAGGACTCTTCGGCAATAAATGGAAATTCTCGACTCCAGTCTCTAATGGAGTCTGATTGCGAAACCAATTTGGATCGAACTCAATTAGGCGGGTTGAGCATGAGTTAGATATTCAACGAGCGAAAGTGGTGTCTCCATCTATACTTACTTTTAGTGAATGTCCATGGGATATTGAATACACCTTAAAAAAATTAATTTTAAATATCTGAACGGTACTATTGGCCACATTGGCGAGTACAATAGCGTAATTTTTTAATAATTTGCTATATAATTACTATTATTTATGGACATTTGCATGTCTATAAATTACATCTCATGGATATAAAACAGATATCCACCATGGACTGGACATTTAGTGGATATTGGGATGTCCAGTAGATATCCAAAGGATTTAATGTGCTGTCTGGGTTAGGTTCATTCTTAATAACGTTTAAACAACATGTAACAAACCGATTAGCCACTAGCAGGTAAATTAATTATGCTGTCAATGTGAATCAAATACGTATATATTATTGTTCTTTATGTTCTCAGATTTAAATAAGGTACCTAAAAATGTAAGTATTTTTTTACCCCTGAGTCAAATATGAATTAATATTAAGCATGATACATTATAGTGTTAACAAAGAATTATGTACATAATTTTTTTTTAAATAATTTTTCTTTTCTGTTAAACATTCCTGATTTTTTTTTGAAATTGTAGTACAGTCTAGTATCAAATAGAATCTCACCTGTTGTGAATGTTGGTGTCAGTTTTGCTCTGATGTTCTTCCATTTTTCGTTTTTCAAGTTAAAAAGGTTTCCAGTTATAGCGTCCGCATCTTCATTAATATAACCAACGTGGTTAACGAAATGTGAAAAATCCTTCTGAAGAACGTTTCTGATCAGTTCCTGATCGGTAAGTATAAGAACCGGCGAAAAGAAGTCATAAATACCACCAAATTTTTGTCCTTTCGATTTGAAATGACGATAAAAACTTTCAAATACTTTGCTTCTATGTTGTGTTTGTTTAGTTATAGCAGTCGTATTTCCGAAAAAAAAATCTGGTTCTATATAGTCAACGCCCCTACGACTCCAGTAGGATTGTTTCCATTTGATATAAAAGAAAATTATACCTACCAGGGAGAGGAAAATGTAGACAAGCGTAACAAAAACCATTTTTAAACTGGTACCTATAAATTAAATTGTTAATATTATACTCTAATATGTAATTCTGTAATAATTTTATTATTTGTAAGAGATATTTTGATAAATAAATAAGATACCAAGATTCTGTTTCAAAATAACATCTTTATCTATATTTATATTTATATATGGCTTTAAATATTCATTGTTTGACCTACTGCATGCCCAATAAAAATCTTTGTTATAAATTATATCATTTTATTATTAGGTCAATAACTTACTCTTTGCTTTTGTTAGAACAGATATCAACTAGACTATTCAACTTTCAATAACTGTGTTAACCATTTATTTGAATTAACACTCTCTTCTTTAACAGTGTTGCCGTATGAAAATTATCTCAGGAGATCACACGAAATATATCGATAAAAAAATACAGGGTAACCCGAAATTATTTTTTTTATTTATTTATTTATTTATTTATTACAATATCCAACAGGGTTGCCCCTAATTACAAGATAAAGAAAGGAATATTACAAGAATTGGGAATTAACCTAAATGAATATTCTTATCTATATACATATTGTAATAGTATTAATGCTGGCAAGCAATATTTTGAGAGTTAAAAAAATAAAACAAAACACATACAGTATAGTCTTGAAAATTTTAAATTTTTAACTATTTAAACTGACTAATATTTGTTTTTCAAATATTTTTAACTTTTATATAACTTGTAACATTGTTTTTTTTTTAAATTTATTACATCCCCCACATTCGATGAAACTTGTTTGTAGTATTCCCTAGTGGATGGAGAGTATGATGAGTTTTCTTTTTTACTATTTTATATATCGTTGGCTCAAAGTTAACACACCTTACACCACATATTCTCCTTTCCACTAGGCGAGCCTGAAGATGAAGTGATGATACTTCGAAACCGGTCGCACTCAATGTTTTATTGAATAAATAAACATTAACTTTCCTTGTGAGATATAAAGGACTTTTTCTCCCCCTTCACCTTAAAATTACCTCAACTCATACATGGCTACCCCCCTTGTCAATTGACAGAAAGATACTTCTAATAGATGCAACAGATCAATTAAGGATATCTATATCATCTTCAATGTTCAAACAGTTTAGGATAATTTGAAATAAAGGCGATGCTTTGTATATGTTGGTTCTATGTGCTTGTTGATAGAATAGTTGATTTCTTCGGGAATTAACTCTAGGGACGTGAAAGTTTAACATTTCCAAACATGGAATACAATCCACCTTGTTATTTAATAACTTGAACAGAAATATCACTGAGTGCATTGCTCTTCTATTTAAAAGACTGCATGTATTGAAACGGTTTAAATAATAACTTTCTCTTATAGTATAGGTATCATCACTTAAAAGACAATCTGGTTTCAAAAGATCTTCGTTGAACTCTTTCCAAATGGTTAATGTGATTGGAGTATATCGGACTCCAAACAATACTGGCATATTGTAATTTTGACAAAACCAGCGAAGAGAAAAGTATTTTTATAGTTGAAAAGTCAATGAATAATCTCATATTTCTTATAACAAAACCTAAAATTCGATAAGCAGAAGCAGTTGTTTCTTTAATGTGCGATATAAACGTTAATTTTGGATCAAAGAAAACTCCAAGATCAGTTCTGATCGATTTAATGTAGAATTTTGTAGTATTGATGCTTCCTTTCCCGTGAATGTCATTACATTACATTTTTTAACATTTAACGGTAACTTATTTCTTTTGCACCATTCGTTTAAGCGGTTAAGATTCTTTTGAAGCAAAAAACAATCATTTTAACTAGAGATTTCATAAAAAAAATTAGGTCATCGGCAAACAATAGATTTGTGACGCTTAAATTACAAAACTTATCATTAAAAAAGCAGAAATAATAAAGGCCCTAAAACCGAGCATTGCGGGACGCAGGATGTTTGTTTAAAATTCATTGATTTATGCCCTAAGCACTGAACATAAAGGTAACGATCTGATAGATATGACTGTAAAACATTTAATAAAGAGCCACGAAATCCAAGTGCTGAACGTTTACCTATTATTAGAAGTTTGTGATCAATTCTATCGAATACTTTAGAGAAGTCAGTGTAAATAACATCAACCTGATCAGTTTTTCAATTAAAGTTTAAACTGAGTTCAGTAAATAAACTGAGTTTAATTAAAAGATTGTGTAGTTCAAATATAGTTCACGTCTGAGAAAACCGTGTGTTCTGGTGTGTCAGTCTCTCCGCAATACATGCAATTTGAGTCACTGGCTTTCCCTATCTTGTATGTGTAGCTTCTAAATGAGCCATACCCACTTAGAAACTGCGTTATTTAGTAATTCTTTTGTGTTTGCATTGTAGCCAGGCCGATAACCCTACTGCCGGAATTAGGGAAAATCTTAGAAAGAATCCTCTTAAACCAACTACACCAAGAAAAGCCCGAAAACCAGCTCTTTAGCGAGGCACAATATGGATTCAGAAAGGGAAATGGCTCTCGCAGAAATAACAAATAGTATACGCAACAGCCCAAATCACTGCCTATCCATCTTTATAGACATATCAGGAGCTTTCGACAACTTATGTTGGCCAATTCTTATCACGGAACTAAACCAAAAGGGCATATCAAGCACGCTATTATACATGATCAAAAGCTACCTCCTCAATAGAAATGTAAGCTACTCCTCTAAACACACTACTGTGAAAAAGCCATCCACCAAAGGATGCCCTCAAGGATCTGTATTGGGACCAACGCTCTGGAACGTGGTTATGGATTCAGTTTTTACCACCCACTGGCCGGCAAACGTATACGTCGCAGCATACGCCGACGACATCACCATCACGGTAACCGGTACAAGCAGACGAGAACTACAGAACGTGGCAAGTGAATGCATGACAACTTTATTACAATGTGTGGCAAGAAACAAATTTACAATATCTGAAGCCAAAACTAAATACATCGTATTTTCTAACATATCCCTTGCAAGAAACCCAGTAATCAGATACAACGATAAGCCAATTTAAAGAGTCCAATCCATCAAATGCCTGGGAGTGATACTGGACCATAAACTAGCTTTTGGGGGAACACATATTATATATAACGGACAAGTGCAGGAAAATTTTTCAACTCCTACGAAGAACACTAAGTAGAAATTGGGGACGAATCGACAAATTCCACGACGCTCCACATGACATATATACCTACGCGATCATTCCCATCATGTCGTACGCGCTACCAATCTGGGGACAAAGGATAAACTTCGTGGTAAATAAAAACAAAATCAGGTCGGCACAAGCAACTTGTCTCAAAGTTATACTAGAAGCATACAGCTCCACACCGGCTGAGACTCTATGTATTTTGGCGAAACAATCTCCACTACATTTACATTTAATGTATCTCAAATCACTGGCTGAACTAAAGAAAACAGGATTAACCTACTTCGTAGGAAACCACATAGTAGCAGCAGACTACAGATTCTGTACGGCGGTATCACTTGAGATGAAATACATTCTGATACGAACATGACAGGTCGAATGGGACAACACCACCAAAGGCAGGCACCTACACACATTTATCCCGTGTGTAGAGAATTGGCTCTCCTCCAGCACAGAACCACTCAAGCGAAAAGTGGTACACGTCCTATCCGGACACGGAAATTCCATGATCCACCTGCACAGGATAGGAAAAGCAGTCAGTCTAAACTCCATCCATTGTGGCGTAGAAGATACACCCATACATCGTATTCTATTTTGTCGAAACTTTGACAACGAAAGATTTCTGCTGGACGTTCATTTTAGGGGAAAATCCAGTTCATCCTCCTACTGCATTTCTAAACCTTATTAATCACCTTCCACACAGCTCAATTCGAACCTGACGACTTCCCCTGAGAAGCCAGAGTACTTTTCCCCAAAAGGGAAACGTAACTGTTTATAGACATTTTCTTAGTATTTAAATTTTCTGTAAATAATATAATAATTTCCTTTTTCCCGTCTATTCTTTTCCTACAATTGGAAACCGGAGTTAACACTATTCAATATATTCTTCCAATATCTCAGAACATTTTTTGAATCTTCTCGATAGTTGGAACCGGGGGTTAATTAACAAGGTGCCCCGCTGAGAATGGCATTAGCCAAGCCTGCTCTCCACCCAACGCCGAAGAACACAGCGGACCACTAGTGGAATACGTAATAACGAATAAAGAAGGCGCGCGTAATTGTAACGCAAGAAATACAATTGTAAATTAAAATTTCAATAAAGAATAGAAAATCCTTTCTCATCCACTCCTATGGAAAGCCTAACCAAACTCTAACTTGAACGAGTGAGGACCGTAGCTGCTAGTTACGGGGGTGGTGATGGGGCCTCTTCCTTCTCTACTTTCATTTTTTTTGTAGCCAGGGACATAAACTTGGAATCAGCGTCTTTTTTCATTGTGTTATGCTTTTTTGTCCTTTTAAATATATCTTTTTTTCCTCGAGTGAAACTTCACCTTCCCTTCACCATTAATGTAATTTCCCGCTATTACGTTAGCTGTTTCTTAAGATATTGTTCGATAGGCCCTCATAAATTCTTCAAAGACAAGGTCAGGTATTTCTTGGAGCTGGTTTACTTCTTCTTCCTCTTCATGGTCACTTTCAAATGGCGCCAGCCGGTTTTGGTGCACTACCTTTGGTTTACCGTTCGAAATCTTACTTATACGGCAAATGCCATCATTGATTTTTTTCTTGATGGGGTACGGGCTTCCCAAGACCTTTTAAGCTTTAGAGAATAACCCTTTTGTCTTTTTGGGTTTTGTCGCCTTGTTTGAAACATTCTTCTGTGGCTTGGGTATCGTATCGCTTCTTTATTCTGTCACTGGCGAATTGAAGATACGAGCGGACTAAGTCATGCAAATCGTCTATTCTTCTTCATAACTGGATCACATAATCTTCACCAGCTACATCTTCTCTAGGTCGGCATCCAAACTCGAGGTCGCATGGTAGTCTCATCTCACGCCCAAAAAGGACCTTTGCTGGTGTTTGGCCTGTTGATTCATTGACAGCGGATCTATAAGCCATTGCAAAGAGCAAAAGATACTGATCCCAATCTCGCTGATGATTTGAAACTACTTTTGACAGATATTTGCAAATGGTCTTATTCATTCGTTCTACCATTCCATCGGATTGTGGGTGCAATGCTGTGGTTATGGTTTTCTTCATGCCTACTCCACGGAAGAGTTGGCTTCCCAAAATTTGTGCCTTGGTCACTGTGGATCTCCAAGGGCACTCCAAATTGACAAATAAACTTTTATCAACACATATGCAACAGTTGCGGCCTCTTGATTTGGAATGGCGTAGACTTCCAAATTTACCTATTTTTGGAATTTGGGATTATCATAATTATAAAAATTTTGTCTCACACTGAAAGACATCTGTTTTTCATTTATTCTTATGAAAAC